CAACAGAAATGTACTTCCTCGCCATTCTGGAAGCTGGAAGTCCAAGATCAAGGTGTGGGCGCGGCTGGCTCCTTCTGGGGCCTCCCTCCTTAGCATGCAGATGGCCGCCTTCTCCCCGGGTCTCCCCATGGTCTCCCTCTGTGTATGTCTGTACCCTAATCTCTTCCAACAAGGATGTCCATACGACCTCATTTTCCTTTATCATCTCCTTAAAGGCCCGGCCCCGGATGCAGTCCCGCGCTGAGGTCCTGGGGGCGAGGACTTGAACATATGGGTTCTGGGGTCACTGTTCAGCCCATCACACGCACCAGCCACCTGCCACTGTGCTGATGGGCACCGTGGGTGGGCGAGAAACCCGTGGGGTCACAACCCACACATGCCCTAGCGGCGCCCTGGCCCTGCTGCTGGCGCAGGAGGGGCCGGCAGGTCCCTCTGCATCCCTACCTCGATGTTCGGGTCAGACGGCGCGGGGAGAGCGCCCTGCCCCACGGCCAGCCGTGGGAGTGGCATGGGAAAAAGGCCCGAGTGAGCAAAGGTGTTGGGCACGTGGAAATGAACACCCTTACGCGTCATGGGGAGATAGAATAGGATGCCCCGCCGTCAGGGACTTCCCCGCTCACCGCCTGCCCTGAGGGCATGGGCTCGTGGCTGCAGGTGGAGGAGCCCATAAAGGCAAGGAGGGTGTCCCAGGGGGGTGCCCAGCATGGGTCACTCCTGGCGCCCGGCCTGGGAGAATGACCTGGGCATTCGGGGAGCCTTGACTCGAAGCTGGGCTGCGTGGGAGGCACGGGGCGGAGAGTGCGGGAGTCTGAGGGGACGGCAGTCTGCCGGAGCACGGGGGGACCCAGCGGTCCCCGCACTGTGTGTCTGTGCCATAATTTGGAACCCGTAGTTCTCGGCAGCCCACGTGAAGGGACACTAGTCACGTCATCGCTCCCCCTCCCCAGGGCCTTCCTGGTGAGGAAAGGACCCCGGTGTGGGACGGAGAAGAGCCCCGGAGGGATGGCGAGGGCCGGGGCGGAGGTGGCTGGCTCCGAGCCGAGCCTCGGCCCAGCTCTGGGACTGGCAGAGCCTGGAGGGCCCCGCGTGTCAGGGACTGGCTGGGCTCCGCGACCCCCCTAAGCCGCAGTCCCCCCCACGGCGGCTGTGATGCTATGCGTGCTCTGACCCCAAGTGTGCTTCTCTCCATGCTGCGTGGCCAGCCGCTAGGCGTGCAAGTTTGCCCACGCCCGCACTCGGCTCGGATTTGGCGCACACTGGGGTCCGGCCGACCGGCCCTGGCTGGTGTGGCTCAGCTGCTCGGAGCGCCGTCCTATAAACTAAAAGGTCGCTGGTTCGGCCCTGGTCAGGGCACGTGCCTGGGTTGCCGGTTCAGTCCCTGGTCAGGGTGTTTACGAGAGGCGACAGAGGGATGATTCTCTCCTTCTCCTCCTTCCCTTCCCCTCTCTGTAAAATCAATAAGCCTGCCCCCCGAAGGGGATACAAAAAAACAACAAAGAAAGAAAGATGTGCAGGTGCCGTCCTTGCCCTCCGGGCACTCACGGGCTGGTGGGCAGCGAGGAAACCAGCACTTCAACGAAGAAATAAAGGGGCACGAAGAGGGACGGACGACTGTCACGGAGGAGCCAGCCGAGCGGAAAGGCAGGGGAGGCGAGGAGGGCTTGGGTGCCCCGGGAGCCGTGCGCAGGCCCCGAGGCTGCTGCCAGGGGGCCAGGCGTGTGGGGCCCAGGTGCCTCCGGGGGGCTGTGCTGGGCCTGGGCAGCGGCCGTCCTCCCAAAACCACCCGGGATGCGTCTTGGTGTCACATGGAGAACAACATGTGATTCTCATGGAGCCAGTTGTTTTCTGGAGAAAAACAGTCCAGGGTGCCAACGATGACCTTTCCAACAACAGGCAGGGAGCTGCTTGTCATCGGGGGTGAGTGGCCAGGGGGGCAGCTCCCCTCAGACGAGAGAAGGCTGGGTGGTCGCAGCGGGGCGGCATGGATGGCTTCCGGCCTGGAGCAGAACCCCGGGGTGCGTGGTCTGCCCGGGGCCGGGGTGTCGGAGGGGGGCGCCTCCCCCAACACCAGCCCCATCGCTGCAGACTGTAATCGCTCGCCCTGTCATCCTTTCCTGACCCTTTTCCGTACAGATGCGGGGGGAGGGGGTCAGAACCTGTGTCTCCGGACCAGACCGTCCGCAAACAGGAACCGTGCAAGGGCGTCGTAATTTGATCTTTACTCGGGTTGCCAAGACACTCAGCAAGGTCAAGTGTAGGTGTAGGAATTAGATCCCTCCAGGTTTCTGGCACACTCATTCCTCCTTCCCTGTCTCAACTGTTTGGTAAAAAGGAAAAAAAATCCAACACAGTACAACCTTCACCAAACGCCACATCCGCTTGCATTTAGCTCCGTCTGATCCTCAGTCGCAGGAGCTGCTACAGAGACGGCGGTGCGGCCCGGAATGCTCACGTGCCGCTTCGTCTCCTTCTTCTTACTTTACATCACGTTCGTCGGTGAAGATCACGTTTCTGCCTTCGCCTCCTGCTCGGCCTTCCCGCCACGGCACCGACTCCACCGGATCACCGAACGGGGGATCCCGTCGGCGTGCCGTGAACGGGCCCTTGCTGGGCGAGGCATGTTCTTCCTAGGTTTTCACTGCAAGAAACGAGCCTGACATTACAAAACTGAACGAGTGCAGGTTATGAAAGGAGTCACACACAAAAAAAAACCCCCACAAAGCAATGCCAACGGCTAACAAGCGCATGGAAAATGTTCAGCCGCGGAGCTGATTGAAGGCGCCCGTTCTGCCCGTGGAAACGGCCCCGATCAAACCCGGACGTGGCTCGGAGCCGGAGGGGAGGCCGGAGTGGGGGCCCCGCTCTCGCTTCTCTGGGGCTGTGAACCTGCCGTTCCTGGGCGGCCAGGGCTGGAGCCGGAGCTCGAGACTGTCAACGCCGAGTGATTCACAGCCCCCAAGTGTCACCGGCCTCAGCGTCCCGTGGGAGGACAGCGGGTACGTGAATGTGTGTGCATCTCAGACTGTTCGCCCACTGGAGGTGTCCTGTCTCTTTCTAACGCCACGGCGAGTGTTGACGCGACGGTGTTCAGTGACAAACAGGAGCCCCCCTCACACAGCCGCTCTTAGACGCGGCTGGGGCTGGGAATCCCAGGTCCTGAACTCACACCCCAGAGCGGCCACTCGTGAGAATCCGACCCGTGACCTCCCCTCTCTGAGCCTTGGTTTGGCCGTCTGCAGACGCGGGGTCCCTAAAGCCTCCTCCAGTGGCGTGAGCGGTGAGGAAATAGCGCCTCCTCTGGCCTCTCGCCTCTCCCCGGGGCACCCCTACTCCTCTCCCATGGCTTAAAAAAATATCAGCGCAATACCAAGTACTAGTGAGTCGTTAACTTGTCTCCTGCGGCTCCGGGCTCCGGCCCATCCCACGCGCAGCTGCCTGCAGGGCCTCGCCCCACTCCACTGGCCGACCTGGACCAGGCGACCTTCCCCGGCCGCCAGGGTCTCGGGCACGTCTGGGCCTTGGCCGAGCTGTGCGTCCCGCCCTGGGCACCCTGCGCCCACCCTTGCGCTCCCCGTTCCGAGTCCAGTCCCTGTCGCCGCCCTCGGGGAAGCCTCCTTCCCCCGGGGGGGCGGGGGGCGGCGCTCAGCCAGTGGGACCCCTTCTTCATGGACTTTCGGGAGCCCTCTGGGACCGTCAAAGTTACGAGGCGTACTGGGGGGGAGATGAGTTGCCTTTGCGTTTCTGATTTTTAAATCTAACGTTCCTTCAGAAAAGGGCGCCTGTCGTATGTGAACAGCTTAATACATGTTCACAAGTGGAGCCCTGGCTGCTGTGGCTCGGGGGGTTGGGTGTTGTCCTGCAAACCAAAAGGTCACCGGTTCGATCCGAGGTCAGGGCACCTGCCTGGACTGGGGCCGGGTCCCCAGTTAGAGGTGCAGGAGAGGCAACCACATATTCATGTTTCTCTCCCTCTCTTTCTCCTTCCTTCCCCTTCTCTCTAAAAAGAAATAAATAAACTTTAAAAAAATTTACTAGTACAGCCAACTGGTAATCCATGCCCAGAGCTTTAAAAAAAAAACCCCACAAAAACACAAAAACAGATTCTAACCAGCGGCCGTCACTGGCCCACCCCCGGGTCACCACCCTCCTGACTGGTGAGCTGTCCTCGTCCCCTTCACAGAAGGGGAATCACACAGCAAGTGTCCTTTCAGGTCTGGCTCTTTTGTTACACAGTGTCCACCAGAGCCGTCCTCTGGCTACACGACTTGTAGAACTGTCCCTTTCAAGGCTGTGTCGTGCTCCAAGGTGCGTGTCGAGTGGTGAGCACCGGGGTGTCCCCAACAGGAGTCACACAGGTTTGTGTCTTCCCACGAGGCCCGGCTTGTCAGGGGAGAAACCTGCACAGGCCAGTAGAGTCCCAGCAGTGCCAGCCAGGGACGCCCTGCGGTCGGCCAGCGACCTGCTGACCCCAGGGGTGATCTGCGTGCAGGAGGCTGAGGGCGAGAACCCAGTGGGCAGCGTGTGCAGGGTTTGCCGCGTCCTGCAGGAAGCCCCCCAGTGAACCCGTGTGGCCACCCCCATTGCCACCCTCACTGCCACCCCGAAAAGGCGTCCTCGACCCTTGGGGACCACGCCCGCCCGCCGTTTCTGCGGAGACGCGCGGAGCTAACCTTTGAGACCCAGCCTGCCCCGCGGGCCGGCGGGTCGGGAGGGGATCAGGTTTCCCTGGCGCAGAGAGCTGGGGGTTGGGGAATGGGGGGAGGGGTACCTCCCTCCCGAATGCGCCCTCCTCTCTGGCCCCACCAGGGAAGTTTGGGGTCCTTGCTCCTACCCCCCCAGCTGTGGGCCTGTGCGCCCCTTGGGGCACATTGCCCGGAGGAGGGGTCCCAGATGTCCAGGGGGCCGGTCTGGGAGGGCGGGCGGGCGGGCGGACCTGGCGCCCGCGGTCCCGCCTCCGCCGCGCCCTCCCCACGCCCTCCTCCGGGGCGGGATAATTGAACGGCGCCACTGGGCCCAGCTTTGGCTGCCGAGGTTCGGCCTGAGCTTGGATCCCGCGCTGTCCCCGCACCTAGAGCCAGCCGAGGACACGCTCCCCTCGCTCCGCGCCTTTGTCCGCTCCGCTGCCCGCCGCCTGCCGCCGGCCCCATGGAGCGCGCCGCGCCCTCGCCCCCGGCCCCGCTGCTGCTGCTGCTGGCTGGCCTCTCGCTGCTGGTGGCCCCAGGTAGGGGGGCGGCGGGTCGGGTCGGGAGGAAGGGGGCAGGCACCCTGAGTCCACCGGCCCTACTTGGTGTCCCCGCGCCCGCCCGGCCCCGCGCTCCCGGGAAGTTCTGCAGCTGCGGGCGACTCGGAGCGCCGTCCGCTCTGCGCCCGGCGGCGGCTGAGCCCCTGGCAACGTCCCCCAACCCCACACCCCACTCCTTGTTTCGGTTCTTATCACCTCGCTGGTTGGTGGTGCTTATTATAAAGACCGACCCCCTCAAACGCCTTGCCCTGGAGGCCAGCTCACAGCCGAGAACCCACCCTAGTGCCCACCCACCTCAGGGCCAAGGTGCGGGGTGGGGGAGAGCAGGCGCCAGCCCCGAGCGAGGCTCGCTGCGCCAGGCGTGCCCCTGGCGCGTCTTTGAGCACCCCGCCCACCCCGGCCCTAGGTAAAGGCCCCCATGCCCAGTTTGTGGATGGGAAAACCGAGACCAGGCGGTGGGGAACAGGAGTTTGTGCAGCAGACGAACCTGTCGCAGGGCAGGGGGTGGACCTGAAGAGGTCAGAGAGGAGGGGGCCCCTGAGGTGCCAGGGGCACAGCTGAGCGCTGGGAACCCCTGCCGGCCCTCCCGGGACACAGACCCCGACCTTCTGCCAGGTTCCCCGCTCAGCCGGGGCTGGGGCCCCCCGGGCCACGTCCCACCCACCTGAGGAAGGGGGCGGAAGTGTCTGCCGGCAAACCCCAGGCCCAGAGGCCCCGCCCCAGTGCTGACGGAGCCCTCAGACGCGCCCTTCTTTCTCCTTTCGTCCCCCCCACCCCTGCCCCGGGGGCGGGGGGATAACCACGAGGCCCTGCCTATCGGGCCATGACCTCTGACCTCGCTGCCGAAGCCCCGAGCTCAGCAGCCACTAGCCAGGCCTGCCCTGCCCTGCCGCAGGCCCAGCTCCTCCCTGCGCCAGCCGAGAAGTCGCTCCCCACCACCCTCCGGATTCCTGGCTCTTTGTCTCTGGCTTCGCTGAGTTTTTTTTAAACGGTCTGGTGACCACCCTCCACCTTGGTCAAAGGGTCACTGATCACCCTTGGAATCCCGGATTCTTGATCTTGGAGTTAGTCCAGTTTAACTCTCAGGTGACCCCTGTGGCCCTCGGTCGGTCGTCAGGTCACTTGTCCCAGCTATGCTGGCCTGGGATTCAAGGGGGGCGGGGGCGGGGGCGGGGGCTGTGCAGAAGTCTGTGGGCCTGCTTGCTGCAGCCCGCCCTGCAGGGCTTGGGCTGTTGTGGGCACCAGCTCCATCCTGACCAGACCCTGGGGGACATTTCGTGGGGGCGATGGCACAGGGGGTGCAGGGCTCAGCGCTGGCAGCAGCAGCCATCCTGACCCCTCAGGGCTCCTTGGGGGTTCCCTGGAGGAGCTGGTGCTGGGGCAGGAGCTGGGGCGGGGGCGGCAGGGGAGCAGGGCATGCAGGGGGACCGCTGGCTGGTGCGAAAGCCCAGAGAGCGGCTCGGATTGGGGGCCACACTAGACGCCCTGTTGGAAATGGAAGGGGCCCCCCGAGACCTGCCGTCTCTTACAAATGAGGCCCCCCAGAGAGAAGGCTGAGGTGACCCGTCCTGGGCCTGGGCCCAGCCCCTCTGTCGCTGTTCTTTTCTGCCTGCTGTGCGGGAGGGCTCCCCGTAGCCTGGCGGGTCCGGCTTGGAGGGGTCCCCTGTCGGGTGGAGCAGCCGGGGGGTCCTGCCTGCGGGTTGACAACCGTCTTCTTCATAGAGAAGGCCCCAACTTGATGGGGATCAAAGAAACCACTTCACTGCACACTCGGATGAGAATACCTGGATTATTCCGTGGCCTTTGTTTCTCTGGGGTTGGCGCCTCTTTTGAGTTTACAGGGTTTGGTCTGGTTTGGGGACAGGGACTCAGGAACGGCCTGGCGCCCCCTTCCTTTTGGGGCTGCAGGCCCAGCGGCTGGGAGGCCCTCTGAGGCCTGGGAGGGCGGATGACCCCGACCCCACCCTCCAGACAGCGGTTTAAAAGCAATCATCGAGGAAAGAGCTATCGTGTGGCGAGCCCTTGAGCTAATCTGCTGAAGCTCCTGGGGTGACCTGGCCGCAGAAATGTCATGCCCAAGGTCGGAGCTGAGCCCTGCCCACGGGTCAGTCCTGCTGGGGTTTACAGGGAGCCAGGGTGGGAGGGGCTGGAGAGAGGAGGGGCTGTGTTTTCTCCCAGACTCCCCTGGCCTTTGGCTCCCACTGATTACAGAGAACCGCGCTGGGAGGGAGAACAAAGGGGACAGGACTGGGCTAGCCAGCACGTGGTCGGCTCCCTGCTGATCCTGGACGTTTCCCAGGAGGCCGCTGGGCCTGGGCCCGCAGGCTGTGGGGGGGGCTCTTGGAGCCCCAGATGCGTGAGGATGAGACTTGGGGGCCCTGGCGGGGCAGCAACTCCGAGTTGTGACCCCTCCTGGCACTGCCTGAGGCCCCTCAATGCAACGTTTTGCCACCCCTCCGGCACTGGGGCGGGGGTGGGGGCATGGATCACTGGCCTTCGGGTCCTAGCGGGCACCACAGCATTTGTGGGGCTGAGAACAAGCCCCCTGTCCCCGCTCAGAAACGGCCATGGGTGGTTCGGTGGCTTCCCACCGCTAACTCGGAGAGGAAGGGGACCGGGTTCCAGTGGTCCTGAGGGTTGAGGGAGAGAGAGCAGAGAGCAGCGCCACCACAGTGGCCGCATTGTTACTCTCTGTTTGTGCTGTCCCCTTCCCTGGGGGAGGACAGCGTCCTTTCCTGAAAATGGCTCTGAACGTTCTAACACTGAATGTCCCTAAGCCAGGGAAACAGCCCGACAGGGCCACCGAATTGGCAGCTGCCGGGGGCCAAAGCCATACTGGGAAAGGTCAGGCCAAGTGGCCTCAGCCTGCCTCCTCAGGCACCCGGTCACCAGTGCCTGCTGCGGACCGGCTCTGTGCCGGACACCATGCTAGGTCTTGGGACACGGCAGGGAGGCAGGCAGGCCCGGCCCTTCTGCCTGTGGGGCTCGTCCCCCGGGAGATCCGGGAAAGGCGAGCAGTTACAAACCGACTCCAACTGGCCGAGAGTCAGGGAAGACTTCCTGGAGGAAGCAGCATGCCAACTGGGGTGTGAGGAGCGGGAGGAGCTGGCTAGGCCTGTGGGTAGAGTCGGGAGGAGGCTGTTCCTCGCAGAGGGGATGGCCCAGGCAAAGGCCCAGAGCTGGGGGGCGGGCAGAGGGGGCAGAGGGAGGGGGGCTTCCAGGAAGCCAGGGGGAGCTCTGCCCTGTCCCCGGCTTGGGAAGGGCCTCCCTCCTTCCCAGGCGGGGTCCGGGAGGAAGCGGCGCCGGGCCGCCGTGTGGATCAGGCTTTAGGAAAGCGGTTCTAGTAGGTGCGCAGTGATTTTGCCAACACATTTGAGACAATAAAAGATTTTCCTTTGGAGAAACAGGGTGTTACGACATCGTTAATAAACGCTGGTGTGGGCTCTGTCTGCTTCCTTGTAATGACTGCACATGTGTCCCCATAACGAAACGGCGTAGGGGGCAGTCACCCACGGCGCCGATTTTCTTGGGATCAGGGGCCTGGGTGGGGGGCGTTTAGAGGAGGGGTGTGCGTGGCCTGGAGGCTGGGCCCTCTGCCCCGGGTCAGCGGCCTCAGCAGGCAGGGGGCCCAGGGCTGGGCTCCCCTGGCCAGCACTCCGCTGGCCTGTCTCCTCGCGCCCCAGCTCTGGGCCTGCGTGGAGGCCGGTCGGCCGGGAGCCGGGGGCCTGTCACCCCACCTGCCAGCAGGTTACCGGGAGGGTCCCCCACTCGCAGGGGACCGGGAGACTGGCCCCAGTCCTTCAGGGTGACTCTCGAGAGAGTGCGCACAGTGCCCACGCCTCTCTGCCTCCGTCCCTCGAACGTGGGAAGAACACACGCTCTGCTCTGGGAAATTCTTCTTGTAACTGAAACGCTGTGAACTTGCTCGCTAGCTTCTTCCACCCCCCAGCGCTGTGCGGTAGGAACTGTCATCGTTTCTGCTGTACAGGCGTGTCGCCCGAGGCCCGGAGCAGGTGAGGAGCCTGCCTGGGACACAGGGACAGTAAGTAGGGACCAGGACGTGGGACACCCCCCCACGTCCACCCCCTCGGCGGGACAACACTTTATCCCACAAACGAGGGCTGTGCAGAGGAGAGGCATCCTTCGGAAGAAGCGGGAACCACAGCCCGGGCCTTTAGGAGGCTCCACAGGAGGTGGCCCCGAGGTGCCGGCACCTGCCTTGGCTGAGCTTGGTGGGCAAGGCTGTCCTTGGGGTCCGGCTCAGGGTATGGCCGGCCCTGACTCTCTCTCGGGTGCGGCCCGAGTCAGGCCCTCCCTGCTGCCCTCTGGGTGGGGCACAGCCTCCCCCCTCCGCCGCCCTGGGCACTTGGGACAGGCTGGCTCTGGCTGCAGGAAGGATGCAGGCGGGGAGAGAGTCGCCCCTTCCCTGGCGCCTCTGTAAGGGACAGTGCTCTTGGCCACCCTGGGTCCCGGATGCTGCAGGGCCGGGCTGGAACTTGTTGGGTTGTGTTCCTGCTTCATTCGTTGGGGCACTGTCCCCACCCACCCTGGCCAAATGACCCTGCCAGTGGGCTGTGCTGATGTGACCCGAGCCAGGGATTGGGCCACTTCCTTGGGGACCCAAGGGCTCGGGCGCCGTTACTCCTTTTGGAGGACAGAGGGGTCCAGGGCCTGGTTTTCCCCCAGGGGAGGACTTGGGAGGTGCGCTGTCCCCGCTCTAGGCCACTCCGAGGGGACACCACCTAGACAGGGGCTGGGCCCTCCCTCTAGGGACCCAGTCCTGGTTAGTGGCAAGGAACCATCCTTGGGCTCGCATGGGGCCCGGGTTTTACGACGGGTGCCCGAGGAGAATTTGGGAACAATGATTTATCTGTCAGGATTCGGAAGGTGAAGGTCAGCGTGTGCCGTGGGGAGCGGGAGGTGCCCGAGCGGGTGGTCGAGGTGGGAGGGGCCCACGCAGCGGGGCGGGGCCGTAAGCAGTGAGGTGCAGGCGGGGTTTTACCCTTAACACCCCGGGAAGCCACTGGAGAACCTCAGGCAGGGGACTGCCATGCTTTGACTTAGGTTTCTGGAAGTCACTCTGGACTGCTGGTGGTGGGTGGGCTCTGGGGGGAGGAAAGTGGAGGCAGACCGGGCCGGAGAGAGGCTCCTGTGGGGTCCAGGGCTCACGGTGCCCGGACTGGTGAGGGGTGGGTGGGGCAGGGGCCTGGGGAGCAGGCACAGACCTGGGCGTCTGGGAGGGAGAGAGGACAGGCCTTGCCTGGGGCTCAGACATGAGGGTGGGAGGAAGGGTCCTTCGCTAGGGGCCTGTGAGGCCATTTGTCCACTTACTCCTTCGCAGACACTCGTCAGGTGCCTGCGTGGGGCGGGTGTGGGGCCAGGTGCTGCAGGGACAGAGCCTGTCCCAGGCCCGTGGCACCAAGTGCTCCCACGGCTGATTACTTGTCCGCGTGCTGGGAAGTGCGGGCTGCAGAGACCAGGCGAGAAAGGGAATGCATCAGCCCATGGTCTTGTGTGTATGTGGGGGGCGAGGTCAGGGAGGGCTTCCTGGAGGAAGTGACCTTTGAACTGGTGTGGGTATGAATGAGCTAGCCCAGGGAGAGGGGCGGACCCAGGACCACCTAGCCCCTGGCGTTCCGGCTTCCAAAAGCCAGGCGTTCAGGACACGTGGCCGGCGTAGACGCGCGGCCAGAGGGGTGACGGGAAAACCCGAGAGGATGGGCCCTGCGAGGTGGGGTGCTGCGGCGGTGTCGGGGGCAGTGAGGGCAGCCCACACGTCCACTGGCCGTGGTCCCAGGCGGGCGCTGCCTGGGCCAGAGCTGCCCGGGGGGGGGGAGCGTGGACAGTGCCTCTCCTTCCCTTCCAGAGGTGGGCTTTCTCTGCTTCCCTCTGGCCCCCTCCGTCTAGCCGGTCCTCTGTTCGAGACCCCTGTCTCTCTGTGGCAGGCGCTGGCTCACGGGGTGGGGGGTGCTGGCCCTCATGGTGCCCTGCCTCTCCCTGGGGGGGTCGGTGGCCCGGAAGGGGAGATGGGTCTGTCCTGGTGCCAGACCTGCAGAGCCACAGGGACACAGCCCAGGGACAACTGTCTGGCGCCCCCCTAGCCCGTCCCCTTGAGGACAAGGCCCTGCTCTTTTCTTTTCTTTTCTTTTTAAGATTTTACTTATTTATTTTCAGAGAGGGAAGGGAGGGAGATAGAGACAGAGAGAAACATCCATGTGCAGTTGCTGGGAGCCGTGGCCTGCAACCCAGGCATGTACCCTGGCTGGGAATCGAACCTGCGACACTTTGGTTCGCAGCCCACGCTCAATCCACTGAGCTACGCCAGCCAGGGCAGCCCTGCTCTTTCAGCCCCACACCCCTCACCCAGTCTCACGGCCTGGCATGCGGAGGGTCCTACGAGGGGCGTTTTGAACGTGCAGATGAGTAGGGGTGGCACAGAGACCCAGGGCGGGGGGAGGCCCGAGCTGGACCCCCGACGACTCCGGGCAGGCGCGTCTCCTTCCAGCAGAGGGGTGACGAGGCGGGGGGGCCCTCTGGTTCTGCGGCAGCCTGGGGGCACACATGACTCCGAGAGAACAGAGCGTTCTCTCCTCGTGGGCGCCACAGCCCGTGTCTTTATTTTATGTTGGAGACTCTGTTTGCCTTCTGTGGTCAGGTTCTGACGACAGCCCTTCGCCCGCATTACCGCGCTGGGTCCTCCCGGCCCCGTGCGCCCCCCTGTGTCGGGGACAGGAGGCCCAGGCCCGGGGAGGGGGAGCGGGTCCGCCGGGAAGCCGTCACCCACGGTGTTGCCTCCCCTCGCAATGTCGGCGTCGAGGCTGACGAGGTTCTGCAAAAAAGAGTGTCTCTTCGGTCTGTCTTTGGCAACATGTTTTGTGGACCCAACCGTCCCCGCGGTCCGAGTGCAGAGCCGGGGAGGGACAGGGCTGGGCTCGGCGGAGCTGCTTCTCGGGAGAGAGGGAAGCGAGCTGACAGCGAAGACGCCAGCCCAGCCCGAGGTCCCGCTTCTTCCTTCAGAGACCCGCCGCCCGTCATCACGGGGCGCGGGGTGACCAGGGAGCACCCGGAGGGTGTGGGGGGGTGGCCAGCCTGGGTCCGCCTGAAGTCATCTCACGGACGCTGGCATCGCGCCCCCAGGGGCCCAGAGCTGGCCCCCCTTGCCCGGGCTGCCGAGAGCCGCTCAGACGCACGGGACCCCAGGCACGAGGCGGGAACTCCGGCCCGGCCGGGGCTCCTGGTCCGACTCTCCCTCCCTGGCCCCCGGCGCTGCCCCTCTGGCCCGAGGTGGTTTTTATCGCCCGAGTGAAGTGTGTTCGTCACAAGGGGGCCGAGAGGACAGCGAAAGCCACCCCAGACGTCCCTTTCGAACTGGGGCGTGTGTCGGGGGAGGCCTGTGCGGGGACGGGTGGGACCCGGGCCAGGTTCTCCGTGCCGCCCGACAGAGGGGCACGGCTCCGTGTGTTTGGGGACGCGAGTCCCCAGCAGACCTTTTCTTGGGCGGGACACACCTGCCTTTCAAAGGCCGGCCTGCTGCGGGCGGCACCTCGGCTGCCAGCTCGAGCGGCGGCCCCGGGGAGCTCTGCAGGGCGTCCCCCTCCGAGCACCAGCCCCCCCCCCCCGCCCCCATCCCCACAGCTCGGTTTTCCCCCAGGGGGGCGGGTGAGGCCCAGAAGGTGGCAGGTCTGGGGTCTCGGACCCACGCCCCCAGCACGTCCTGGCCGGCGCTGAAATTCTCCCCAGCCCTGCCTCCTGCCAAGGCTCCAGCTGAGCCCCCCGTCCCTCAGGGTCATTCCATCCCCCCACCCCCACCCCCCGGCCCCCCGCACCTTGACAGACGGAGAGGCCCTTTGGCCTGCGTCTCAAGGATGGTCTCGGGACCGTCTGTGCCCTCCCACCCACGGAACTTGGTCTGGACGCCGTGGGCACGGGTGCTCGTGTGGTTGACCACAGGGGACCGAGGAGGGTGTCTCAGGAGGCAGCCTTGTCCTGGGGCACCCGAGGGCCCCGCCTCAGGAGAGAAACGCGCTCGAACAGAGCGCCCGAGGCTGGCGGGGCCCAGACACGCTGCTGGGCCCGGCGGGGTTCACGCCAGGGGGCGCCGCCAGCTGCCAGAAAGAAAACACAGTTGGTTGAAGTTCCGGCCGCAAGGCGACCCCCGGCCCCACCGCAGAGCCTGTGGCACTCATGCGGCGGCCGTGGGAGCCCCTTTCGCTGAGGGCAGCTTGCTCCCCGGCTGTTTCTTCAGGGGGGGCCACGGTGGGGCCCGCTCCTTCCTGTGAGCCGGGGGGGCCCGTTGGGGCCACAGCCTGGAGTGGGACCGGAGAGCCCCCATCCAGCCACGGGGGTGTGGGCAGGCCGGCCATGGGACCCCTGGGAGCCTTTCCTCTTTCCTTCCTGTAAGCGAGACGCCGTCTGTGGCAAGTCAAGGGCAGAGGCCACCGCTGGCCTTGGCCTCGTACCCCGTTCAATGCGGACTGGCGCCCCCCCCACCGCCCCCAACAGGCGGTTGCACAGACAGCGGGAAGGCAGGACGCGGGTCCCAGAGGCTGGTCTGGGGGCGCCGGCTCTCTCCGCCCCACACCCAGGCTGCGCCTCCAGGGCCTGGCTCCCTTCGCCCCTCGCCCCTGGCGTGCGCCGTGTGCACCCCCTCCCTGGTACGTGCCCCGAACTCGCCAGGCGGGGTTGCCTCTCAAGAGGAGTCGTCCTCCGTGTCCCACTCTCCGGCCCCGGCCGGGCTGGGCGTCTCCGGGCCTCCCCCGCGCCGCACAGTGGCACGAACCATCCCTGACCCTGTAGGAGTGGGGTCGCACATGTCCTGGACACCCCAGCCGCTGGGCTGGGTGGCGGCTCAGCCACGCCTCTGTCAGCAGCGCCCGTCTTTCTTGCCCTCTGGACGGTGAAGGCAGGGCCCCCGTCTGGGCAGGGCCCCTGTTGGCGTGTCCAGGGTGTGGCCGGAGCAGGGGTTCAGCGGGGCGAGCATGCACCCCGGTGCTGAGCCTCGGCCCCGTCAGGCGTGCGTTCGGGAGATGAGAGTGGGGTTTCGGGCCTTTCTGGGAGGGAGCAGCCCGTGGGCTCCCAGCCCGTGCGCTCCCGGCGCGGGGCCCAGCGGGTTTCCAGTTGGGCTGTTGGGTGACGGAGGGGGCGGACGCGCCCCCGGCCCTCTCAGACCCGTGAGCACCAGAGCGAGGGGCCTCCCGCTGGTGTGGCAGGAGGGGGCCCTGGGCAGGGACGGGGCGGGGGGTGGGGGCAGAGCGCGTCCAGAGGGACCTGGTGCGGGGCGAGTGGGGCGTTGCTCCTCACCGTCACCTCGTCTCGTCCCCACGCAGCAGGCGCAGATGTCCCCATGGAGGCCTGCTGTGCGGACGGGCACCAGATGGCCACGCAGCACCGCGACTGCTCGCTGCCCTACGCCTCGGAGTCCACGCAGTGCAGGTGCGTCTGCGGCGGCCGCGCGGGGCCGGGTGCGCCCCCTCAGAGGGAAGTGGGGGGGAGGGGCCTTGTGCGCCGGCCCCCTTCCTGGGCTGTTCGGGGCGCGGTGGGCAGGGAACCTGGCCTCTTTGGGCCCCGTGGTCCCCGGACTGTCCTGTGATTGGGGGTGTCGTCCCCCTCGCTGGAAGGTCAGGGTGTCCAGCCCCCTCTGCCACAGCTCAACACTGTGGCCAAGCCACTCCCTCCTCACAGAAAGGGGGTCAGGTGGGGGGGCGATGAGATCACGCGGCACCGCCGTCAGACCCCCAAACCAGAGCAGAGCGCCCCAGACGGGCCCGCCTCACGCAGTAGCCAATGTCCGGATCCACTATCATTCCCCTCTCCCTCAGTGGAGCCGCCGCTCCCTCACAGCTTGGGGAGAACGTAAGCTTCGAACAAATGATGCAGATAAGAAATGTCGGTTGTCACCATAAAATAGTGAAAGTCACGGCCAGCCTTCAGGAAGCCCCTACTTTGCGCTGTGTGCGTGGGGCACCCGTTGATCCCGTTGAACGCTGCTGCTCACCCATTACACAGATGGGGAGACTGAGCTTTCCCGTTCCCACAGCTGGCAGGGGCTGGCGTCAGGGTGTGGCCCCGGGCCCTGGGGAGCAGCGTTCCCTCAGCTGACATTGTTTCTTCCTCTGCCCCAGACACAGTCTAAGGGGTACGGAGGCAGGGCGCTGTGGGCTGGAGGGGTGGGGGGCGCCCCCCGGGAAAGGATGTGCGGGGAAGGCTCGCTGGCCTCCGTCTGGAGCATTGCATGCCGCCTGCCGGCGTGGCACAGGACGTAAATCTTGATTTCTGAAATTCTTCAAAGCCAAAAGCCTCGTAGACCAAACAGGCAGGGATGACCGGCCGCGTGGGTTGTTTGGGTCGACTGCGAGGCCCCGGGGTGGGGAGGCAGGGAGCGTCCCAGGGGTGGGAGCCAGGGCCCTGGCCCCCGTGTGGCCCAGCGCTGCCGAGGGCCCCGGCTCCGCAGCCAGGTGGCAGCCCGGCCCCCCGGCCCGCCCAGGCTGCCTTTCCGGCTCTGCGACCTGAGTCATCTCCCAGCCTCAGCCTCCCCAAGTTTCAAAGGGGGCCGGTGGGACCCTCCTCCCAGGGCTGTGACAGTGATCAGAGGTGAGGGAGGCAGGCACCACGGAGCCCAGCCCGGGCTCCTTCCGGCACCGGCCCCACCAGCCGGAGTCCGGAAAAAGGGGATGAAGCGGGAACATTTTGTGGGGCAGGCTCGGGGCTCAGAGAGAGGCATCGGGGCTCCCCTGACTCTGCCGCAGACCCCCCCCCACCTGGCGTTTAGTCTTTCTGACGTTTACCAGCCCCGACTGGGTGCCAGGCGCTGGTCTGTGTCTGGGGCGGGGGGGGGGCGGGGGGTGCGTGGGGAAGGCCTCCCCGCGGAGCCCAGGCCCCGGCCCAGCCCTGCCCTCCCCTCGGCCCCCCCAGGATGATCCAGGAACAGTGCTGCCACAGCCAGCTGGAGGAGCTGCACTGCGCCACCGGCATCAACCTGGCCAGCGAGCAGGACAGCTGCAGTGCGCTGCCCAGCAACGCCAGCCTCGAGGCCGTGTTCGTGAAGGTGAGCCCTGCCCCGCCCCGCCGGCCAGCGGCTGCACCCCGTCTGTCGGCAGGAGGCTCTCCCCCCGCAGCCCAGCTGCAGGCCACCTGTCCTTCTGAGCAGCAGGGGGTGCCCGGCCCAGGAGGGAGGAGCAACCCTTCAAGTCTCCTTGCCTCCCCCAGTGTGATCAGTGAACCCCGGGCAGCGCCCCGGGCCAGTTCAGACCCCGGGGAAATGGTGATGGAGAGGCCGCAGCCTTGTCCTGAGGGCTTCCCGTCCCGGGCTCCAGGCGGGGGCGCAGAGGTCAGAGCAGGGGTCACCTGAGTGCAGGGGCCTTCAAAAGCCTCTTCTTGGTTCAAGGCTGGCACCCCAGCCCCGCTCAGGACGCCCACGAGGTTCTCTGCACCCAGGCCAGCCAGAACCCAGGGCTCAGAACAGCCCACAGGGAGGCCTCCGTCACCGCCCTGGAGAAGAACACTGAGGTTCAGAGAGACGCACGTTCCAAAGTGGCCTCTCAGGACCCCCAGAGGGGGCGGGGCTGGTGAGGCAGAGCTGGGGGAGGGGGCCCAGCAGGCCCAGAGCGAGTCCTGCCCGGAACAGAAGCGGGGAGCGAGGCCGTAAAGCAGGCTGGGACTCGGGTCCGGGTCAGGCCACTCGCCTCCCCGCCAGGGAAGGCCGCATCTCCGAGTGGCTGCTCGGAGCCCCGGATGGCACGCCCGGGTCCGAAACCGCACATCAATCAGGGAGGTGTCCGGGCTGTGCCTCCCCCATCCTCCCTCCCCCGCCCCACAGAGGGCAGGACACGGCCGGCCTGTGGCGCTCCGACTTGGAACGCTGCCCTGGTCAGCTGGGTTTCTGCTGGAGGTGCCTGGGGCAACGGCAAACTCCCTGGAAAAAGGATGTTCTGTCCCTGGCCAGGAGGGCGATGCAGCCGTTTCAAGGAGCCAGATTCGCAGTGAAGTCTGGGTCCTGAGGAGGGCTGCGTGGGCTCCTCTCGGGGGGTCCTGTCTCCACACAGATGGGGGTGGGGGAGATTTCAGGGGGAGAAACTGAGGGGCGCGGCCTACCCTCGGCCTTTTAGCGCTTTTCTGGGAGATCTCTGGCAAGAGGGAGCTGGGCGGGGTGGTCCAGTCAAAGCCAGCACCTCGGACGCCCTGTGACGGCCTCTCCGGGCAGGGCCGGGGCCCCGCCCACACTGTCTGCCTGGCTGGCAGCTCTGCCCGCGTCCCCAGACGGGAGAGGAAGGGGGGTACAGGAAACGCCCGGAACATTCTAGCGGGGGTGCGAACAGGTCGCTCTGGCAGAAGAGTGATCTGTGTTGCCAGGAGGGATGACTCATGCCACCCGAGGCGGAGGAGGGGGCGGGGCTCCTCCCTGCTGGCAGCAGAGGTGACGGAAGGCCCGTCACCTCACCTCGGCAGAAACGGGAGCCCCGCCCCTCCCCCCGGCTCCCGCTGGGGGCCTGCTGGAAAGTCTGAGCTCTCAGGACACTAAGGACCGAAAGGGCTTTTCATGTGTCAGGGCGCATGCTGTCCCCAGGATTCGGGTGTGACCTTTGGGGACGCGGGGGTCGTTCCCGATGCACGGTTCGATTCCTGCCGCCCACACCGCCCTAACTCGGGCAGAGGAGCCGGATGCGCGTCGATCTTCCGGGCACAGCAGGGAAATCTCAGACCCCGCAGGGGGGCCGGTGCCCCCCCCCCCCCGCCCGGGGCTCCCGTGTGACCTGACGGGGCCCCTCTCACAGCTGCCTCTTCCCGGGGGCGTGTGTGCAGGCTGGGCTCGCTCCACTCTTTGCAGTCCCTGTCTAGAAGAGGTAGCAACATCAGGCCCCGGCCGTCGCCATCCCAGGAGAGCAGACACGGGGGGCCTCGGAGAGGCCGGGGGGTGGGGGGCCCGCTGGGTCACCATCTGACTCCTCCATCTGGGGTCCCCGCCTGTTCACAGAGGTGCTGCCACTGCTGCCTGCTGGGGAGGGAGGCCCAGGCCAAGGGCCAGAGCTGCGAGTACAACCTCATGGTCGGCTACCAGTGCGGGCTGGTCTTCCGGGCCTGCTGCGTCAAGGGCCAGGAGACGGCGGACTTCGCCCCCGCAGACAACGGCGACCACCAGGAGACAGGTAACTCCCCTCCTCCCTCCCTCTCGGGCAGTGTGTCGGTCGGGGCGGGCCAGAGAGGGGTTGATGTTAAGGAATCGCCTCACGCGGCCGTGGGCGCTGGCGGTCTAACCGCGGGCCTGGGCCGGCAGGGCGGAGACCCGGGAGAGAGCCGACGTGGCAGCTCACGTCGGAAGGCCGTTTGCCGGCAGAGTTCCTTCGTGGCTGGGGGAGGTCTGGCTTTGTCTTACACCCTTCGCCTGATTAGACCAGGCCCACCCATGCGATGCAGGGCAATCTGCTTTACTGAAAGTTTGCTTAATTTGAATGTTAATCTCATCTAAAAATACCAGCCTGGCACTCTCCAGACTAGTGTTTGGTCAAATACCTGGGAATCTCAGCCCCATCGTGTTGACACATAAATTAACCATCACAAGCAGGGCCGGCATACATGTGCACTATAGTTTGGGGAGAACCGTGCTGGGGCGTGTGCTGGTTATTCCTGGTCTGCAGACTGGGGGACCCGGGCTGGGGAAGCGCAGGACTGGGGTCTGTTTTCTAGCAGGGAGAGTAGGCTTGCTGGCCCCCACAGAGCGCCCCGGGAACCTGACGGGAGGCCGTGGTTGTCCGAGCAGTGAGGTCCCATTGTCACCTCACCTGAGACCCACTGTCCTGAAGTGAGACAGAGGGCCTGGGACCTGGGCTCTGACGGACCAGGTGCACGTCGCCGTGCTGACACGGGTTTTCGGCAGACTGATTCCTCCGGTCCTCAGTCACCTCATCTGTGAACTGGGCGTGCTTACAGGTCCTGGGGAGGGTTCGGGGGGAGGCTCCGTATAAAGTGGCGCAGTGCCTTTGCTGCCACCATTCTTCCCCGTCCCTCCAACAGCCCTGGCGGTGTGGGTGGCTGGCCTTGCTCTTGTTTCACTGGTGAGGACCTGGTGCTCAAGGTCACGTGGCCGACACACAGAGAGGGAAGGATGCCCGCTTTCCGCCCCTGGGCCGGGGCCGCCTCCCTCCGGGGCCGACGATGCCTGGACGAGAGGCTGGGGGTGCCACGTGCTAACAGCGGGCTCTGCTCTGTCAAGTAACAGAGGCTTGTTCAGCAAAGGGGCGAGTGGCCCCCAGAGCAGATTAGAGAGAGCTTCCTGCTGTGTGCGCGCCAGTTCCGTCTCCCACGTGCATTTGTCCGGAGCCGGACGAGCCCCAGAGCGGCCGGCCTGGTGCGGCTCCGTGGCTCAGGGGACTTCGTGGCTGTCTAGTGATCTCTTCCCCTTACACAACGGTTTCCTGGGAACGGAAATAGCCCCGGAAAACTCCAGACGTCTGTGTGACCCTGGGCCCCTTTCCCTCTCACTCTCAGCTCCGCGCCCCCCACCCAGCCCCCCGCCCGGAGCAGAGGCAGGAGGGCCACGGGAGGAAGGGCACACAGACCCCTGGTCTCTGAGCCAGGTCACCCTTCGCTGTGGCCTTTTGACCCCGGTGGCTTCAGCGCTTGGGATCAAACGGAGCAGTCTTTCGCTCTTCATTTTTAATGTCTCCTTTCGAGGGGCCCCACGGACGCCTGGGGCGGATGTCGGATATCTCCGTCGTAAAGATGGATTGGAGCCACATTCTGACCCCCTCCCGGACTTCTGAAGTCGGAGATGACATTTGTAGTTTAAACAAACCCGAACCCCTTATCCTGGCGCAGCATTCCTCCTGCGTCTCCGGGGAGGACTTGGGTTGATTTATGTCTCGTTTCGGTAACGATCTCTGGTCTGGGCGTTTCCGCCGCTCCAGATGTCTCCTATCTCCCCTAGCCTTCGCTGGCTTCGGTCCACGCCCCAGACTTCCCTCAGGGCCTCCGCGAGGGCTGGCCGCCCCCCACCAGGCCCCTGCCGCCCTCCCCCGCTACTCGCTCCCCCAATCACAGCCGCGCCTCCCTCCCTCCCTCCACTGATGTGGATTGTGGGCCTGCTGGGTGGGGAAACTGTCTAAGCATTTGATAGTCAATTACGACTGTTCAATCTAAATTTAAAACTCGGGGCTCCTAGGTCTGTTTTCTCCCCTTAGTTTTTCTACTAATTTGTTTCTATTCTATGCTGTCGACGTATCTTGGTCTGAGACTGGGGGGAGAACCCTGTTCTCATCCCACAGGGGACCCCGAAGTTCGGGAGAACTGTGCTGGGCCGTATTCTGGCTACTCCCATCCCACAGATGGAAGACCCAGGCTCGGGAAGCGCAGGTTCGGGGTTCGTCTTCTAGCAGAGGTAGCAGGCTTTCTGGCTCCCACAGGTCACCCCAGGAATCTGGACGACCTCATCACCCAGCTGATGGACAGCACCTCACATGTCCTCCCAGCCTCGTCCAAAGGGCCCTTTGGAGGATGGGACCTGGACGTCCTGGCCGTGCGGGGCACGTTGAGGGCCGGGGTGGGGGGCCTTGCTCTTTGCTGGAGTTGAAGGCACCCCGTGAATGAAATGCCCCTCAATTAATTCCCCGAGTAAAGATGCCCCCAACCTAGCAGAGACGGTTATACCCTAAAGGACTCTTGCTTGGTTCCTCCCCAGGTGAAAAGAATGATTTAGAGGCCCTCACTGTGTCTTAATGCGCACAAGAACGCTCGTGCAGAGTGAGAATGTGCCGGCTCTGTCGTGCTGCCCTGAGCCGCAGCGCTGCTGACGTGCTTCTCCGTGACGACGGGTGCTGCTCCCGTGTGCCTGTGTCGCCTGCGCGCTGTGGGCAGTTAGAAGACCCAGGGTGGCGGGAGGGCGGGAAACCCACGGGAGACAGACACTCTTTCTGCCAGAAACCCCGTGCGGAGAGGAGCGGTTCCGACTGGGCCGCCTTTCCTCGCAGCCTCTTTTCTGTCTCCTTGGCCCTGAGCGTGGCCGCCGGCGTGGCCGCAGTTGCTGCTGAGTCGTCACGGACTCGGGCTCCCTGCCGTTGGCCTGGTGAGGGGTCCTCGCCGTCCGACGGCTGGGCTTCCCGGTGGCTCTGAAGATTCTCCGTGCCCTGGGCCACGTCCGCCCACGTGGAAAGGCCCAGCCCGGTCCCCTCACGCCGGGGCTACTGGGGGGATGCCACCCTAGGGAGTGAGGGCCCCTGCACACACCAGGTCTCCAGCCCACAGCCCCCCGCCCCGAGTTTTCTGCTGAGAGGAGGGGTCTGGCCTGGCTGAGCGCCAGCCCTCACTCGGGGCAGACACTCGCACGCCTTTGTTGAGTGAGTCGAGTGAGCGGCGGTCGATGGCGGCACGACAGACACTGAGCTTTGCAGGCAAACTGTACAAAACAAGAGCCTTCGAGTCCCGGGGCTGCTGTGATGAATGAAATACCGCGGACCGGGGGCTTGACCGACAGACACGTCATCTCACAGCCTGCGTGTCTGTCGCCGTGTCCCAGTTCCCCCTTTTGGGGAGGACACTGTCCTTGGATTCGGGCCCCCCTGTCCCCCTCAGCCTCACTTGGTCATCAGCAAAGACCCTTCCTCAGTGAGGCCCATTCGCAGGTGCTGGGGGTTGGGGGTTCGGCCTCTTGGGGGAGGACGCAATTCAGCCCACAACGACAAAGTTCCACCAGGTGCACGGCTGTAGGTTTGGAGGGTGTGGCATGGTTTAGCCGTGCCTGCCTTGGCTGAAACATACGAGTAATTTGGACAATGTAACCGCACTCTGCGCTAAGGGGATAATTCCAGGCCCTTGGGCTGGTACTGTGGTGTTGTAACAGATCTTTTAGAGACATAACGGCATCTGTGAGGGTCGTCCTCTTTTTCAAGAGGATTAAGCGAATGCCAAGAGCTGTCAGGAGGTGGACAAACGGGCGTTACTGCCTGATGTTGCCTGGAAGACAAACTGCTGGGTGTCTTCCGAGGGGAGCAGGCTTGCTGCCTGTGGATAACCATGTCTTCGCCTGTCTTGCCCCGTAGCTAAGATGTCCGAGATGGCGGAGGAGGAGCAGGAGGACCCGTACCTGAATGACCGCTGCCGAGGTGAGACCTGGGTCCCCCTCGCCGGGGCCCTGCGGGACTTGAGGTCGGGGCTGGTCCCGGGAGGAGCCTGGCCTCGGGCAGTGCTCAGGGGCACCTGGGACTGCCCCCGGCTGGGCGTCTGCTGTAAGTCACTCTGTCCGTCCTCTCTGCACGCCTGGGTTCCCTCCCTCCCCTCTCCTCCTCCTTGCGGGGGCCTGGCGGGCGGGGGCGGGAGAAGGTGGGCTTAGAGAGGGAGCCACGTGAGAAGCCGGTGTTAAAAACCCTGCCCCGCCGTGCCCACCTGACCGTGACCCCAGGCTCTGTGAAGGGTCAGCACAGCTCCCCCCAAGGCACGTGGTTTGACCTTGTGTTCTGTTTGACCTTGTGTTGCGGCGTCCCCCTGTGCCGCTGGGAAGGTCCGTTCCGGAGACCTTTGCCGGTTCAGAGTCGGCCGGGCCTGGCAGGGCCTACGTTTTCTCGTGTGACAGAAGTCTGTGTCTCCTTCACGGAGCGCGCTGGCCCGCATGCCCGGCAGGCCCGCTCCACACACAGGTTCATTCAGCAGCTTGCCCTGCGGTTGGGGCGTGGCCTGGAGACCCAGCACCGAATGGTGTGTGTGGCTGATGCACAGAGGCCGCAGGGTTGAGGGGGCGGAGCCCCGAGAGCCCAGAACGCCTCCTGATCCTCAGTGGTGGGCTGGGCAGCAGTGGGAGGGTGTTCTGGGGGAGGGGAGCTGGTTTGCAGTGGGTGACATGGGTTGGCTGGAAAGTGAGGCTGCAAGGGGGACTGGGGGCAGCGGGACTGGAGAGCGAGGGGTGCAGGAAGAGGATGGGGGACTGGGCGGGGCCCCCAGGCCCTGGGCAGCGGCCAGGCTGTCCCTAGCAAGATCTTTACCTGGGGGAGGTTGTCCCGATGAGACTCGCTTTTCGAGCTTCACGCAGGCTGCCCTGCAGGAAGCGTGGCTGGGGGGGCGGTCGGGCTGCTCCAGGAGCAGGGTGAGCCTGGTGAGCTGGCGGCCGGAGCGAGGCCGTGGCTGTGGGACTGGGGCAGAGGGAAGCCCGAGAGACATGTGGGGACCAGCGGAGGCCCCGTGTGGCCCGGCCGCTCTGTGTGTGCCTGGTGGCAGCGTCACACACGCTTGTCTGTGTTGCCCCTGCCAGCTCTGCTGCGGCTGCAGAGCCCACCCTGCGTGTGCCTGATTTGCAGACCAGGGCGGGGACCTGGAGCAGCAGCACTGGGGTGCCCAGAGCCAGGCCCTGGCGGGGGGCTTCCATGGGGGGTGCCGCAGTGGGCTCCAGCCTGCAGAGCCTGCCTCTCTGTGTCCGTCCTCCCGGGGCCACTTTCTCAGGCCTGGCCCCGGGAGGCCTGGAGGGGCGCCACGTCTGGTGTGCACCCGGCCTCCGGCTCACGCTCGCTCCGTCCGCAGGCGGCGGGCCCTGCAAGCAGCAGTGCCGGGACACGGGCAAGGAGGTCGTCTGCTCTTGCTTTGTGGGCTACCAGCTGATGCCCGACGGCTTCTCCTGTGAAGGTGAGTGTCCCCGTGTTCCTGGGGACAGCTCGACAGCAGGTCGCTGCACCTGGGAGCCTGTAACCGAGACATCAGGGCAGGTCCCACTTTGCACAACTCAGGGCCCCGTTTGTGGGTGAGAGGCCCAGGACCGGCTCTCCAGCGCCCCCTGGAGTCTGTACGGCGTGCTCTCACGCAGGAGGATAGGAACACCATGCTGGGAGCCAGGGCTGGGTGTGGGCTCTGCCTCGGCTGCGAATCTGGGACCTGCTGAGTGGCCCTGTGCACAACTTGCAGCCTCCCTCGGCCCCTCGTCATGACACGGGGGGATGGAGGAAGCGATAGCCCCTTATAGGGTTCTTAAGGGTCCTATGACTCCAATCTGGCCTGGCTCTTGGCCAGGAGCCATTGACCTGAAACTGGTCAGGGGAGCAAAGCCTTTGCCTTGAGTCCCGTGGGGAATGCCCAGGACCCCAGTCCAGTGCACGGCCCGAGGACTGGGCAGCGCGTGGGGCCCTGGCGGGGGCCGGGAACCGAGCTGCGCTGCCTTCGGAGGAGAGAGCGCATGACTCCCGCGTCGGTCCGTCTCTCCTAGATGTCAACGAGTGCATCACGGGCAGTCACACCTGCCGTTTCGGGGAGTCCTGCATCAATACCGTGGGCTCTTTCCGCTGCCAGAGAGACAGCAGCTGCGGCACGGGCTACGAGCTCACGGAGCACAACGACTGCAAAGGTGCGGCACGGCCCCAGCCGGAGCCCTCCGCTCCCCTCCCCTCCCCTCCCCGGGCCGGCTGTGGGGCGGGCGGGGCAGCTGCAGGCTCCCGGGGCTGCGCTCCGCGGGGCTGGCACCCCTGTGGGTTTATTCTGTGCCTGAACGCTGAGTTAATAATGCCCTTGCCAAGTGTGCATTTATGAAAAGGCTCAGAGCATGGCCAGTGAAAAACCAGACCCGGGAGGAGTTTCAGGCGCTCACATGTGCTTGTTGCAGAGTATACATATTTTGCACAACAGCTGCCTTGTGTCCGATTTCAGGCTTCCTTGAAGTCCAAAGCGCCCTTCCCTTTGCATAAAAAAAAAAAAAATGATGTTTCTGGCTGCCGGCCGGCCCCTGCCAAGCCACAGACGTTATCTGGCAGATAAGGCTTTGATGAGGAGGAGCTGGTCGAACACAGTTTTGTGCCGCGGGTTCCCAGCCCTTCAGGCGGCAGACCGCTTTTGTAAAGATGCTGCGGCTGAATTACGAGGGCAGCTCAAAAGCAAGGCGCGCCCTCCTGCCGCCTGGGGCTTTGGACCAGCTCAGCGCGCCCCACCCGGGAGGACTCCCTGGGTGGTTCCGCCTCTGCGGATGGACGCGCTGGGTGGCTCGGACCCCGAGGACACAGGGGCCCGGCCAACTGAGTCTCCGTGTTTGAAATCGGACAGCTGCGAACTCCAAGGGAGGGCAGCCAGCGCTCAGATCGTGGCAATCACCATTGTCCCTATTTGCAACATTGTGACAACTTCAGAATGAATGCGTTTATAGAGACAGTGTTTATTGCCACGAAGATCAATGCTGGATGATCTAAACGAAACACGCACATGGCCTGAAGTAGGGAGGGGGGAGAAAAAAGCACCACAGATGTTGCCAGGAAAATGCCTGGGTTATTTATTATGTAACAGAAAGTTTGCCTCCTTGGAGCCTTGGGGGAAAAGTCAGCGTTTTTAAGTCTTGGCTAATTCGGGCCCTTTTTGTATGTGGCCTCTCTGTGGGAATGTTTTGGGTTATAGTCTGAGTAATAAGCATTAAAAAAAAAACAGCTCTGTTGTGATTTTAAAGTGTTGTAAGATGCTTCTGGCAGGACTCTCGCTAACAATTTCCTTTCTTTATGATGCACCAGATATTGACGAGTGTGAGAGTGGTATTCATAACTGCCTCCCCGATTTTATCTGTCAGAATACTCTGGGATCCTTCCGCTGCCGACCCAAGCTACAGTGCAAGAGCGGCTTTATACAAGATGCTCTAGGCCACTGTATTGGTAAGACTCTGCCGCCGGCGCTGGGGTCCGCCAGGCGGGGCGAACGACCCCTCTCATAGAGGGGGACTCGTGGTGTCTGGGACAGAGGTCGGCCAGCTTTTTCTGTGAAAGGCCGACACATGGGTCAGGCGCTGTGGGCCGGAGGGCGCTGCTCGCGCTGTGCAGCTCTGCTGTGTGGGCTGGAAAGCATCCACAGATAGGTCAGCCAGTGGGCAGAGCCGTGTGCCAATAAAACTTTATTCACAAAAACCATCGGCCGGCTGGCCTGGGCCCCAGGGCTATATTTGAGTTTAGCAAGCCCGGGTTTAGACCAGGGAACTTGAGTGTTGGAGTCAGACACCTGGTTTGGAACCAAGGGACCTGAGGTGACTTGCTTCCTCCGAGCCTCAGTTTCCCTCCCTGTAGAATGGGAAGCATCCGGGCGTCTGGCTGAGGCCAGGCCCACACAGGGGCCTGTGAAGTGTCGGGTTTATAAAAATTTTCAACAGTGTTCCGTATTAGCAGCCCAATGCACCGACACAGCGTAGGATGGTGGTTAACAGGGAAGGGGGTGGGCGAGATGCGGTGTCAGGGGTCAAGGGCACAGCGTTTCAGGGGAGAAAACGAAAAGTTCCTTGGACGGTGGGGGTGGCAGTCGCACAATGGTGTTGATGTACCGAATGCCACTCATCGGTGCACTTACAGGGGTAAACGGGGTGAAAACCCTTCATGTGACTGCCCGGGGCATTTAAAGACAGGCAGGACAGACGCCCTCAGGGCAGGGGCCACCCCGAACCCACCCGTCCTGGTTCCCAAAGCTCCCCTTTCACAATCGGGGGCAGGCGGCTGAGCCGTGGGGGCCTCAGGGGCTGTGGCTGGCCCCGTGCCAGTCCCGCGGCGTCACTGAGGAGGCGGCGGGAGTCAGCAGGAGGCCCCGGCTCTCCCAGGGCTTGGCAGGGAGGGGTCCCGCCCGGGCCTGCTGCAGGCTGGCAGGGGGCTCTGGAGGGGGCTGGCATCGCCGGGGATGGAAACCCTGACTCACGGCAGAACCCGGCCGACCCCCACAAAGCGGGGGGCGTCTGCAAGGCTCAGCTGAGCCCCGGTTTTCCCTCTATGGGGCGGGGCACGGCCCTGTCCAGGGGCAAGCACCGAGCAGTGGGAGGGGACAGGCCCCTCAGTGACCATCCCCACGTGGGGGAAGGGTCTGCCCGGGGAGGAGGGCACAGCCTCGCAGGAGCCCAGGGCCCGGGAGGCGGGCCGAGGCCCAGCCCGCCGGCACCACACACCTGGTCGCCCGGTGGCGGCCTCCGCGCTGCACGGGGGCTGTCTCGTCGCAGCCCCGGGGCGGGGGTCTCCCTTCGTGGGCACGTCGTCCCTGCCACCCAGTTCAGGATTCTTTTAACAATTCTTATTTCAAATGTTACATACATTTTCATTTACCGAAAAGCAAACAAAACCTAAGCGTGAGAGGAAAAGCTTCTTCGCTCGGTAGTGTCTCCGTGGTCTCCCCGCTCCCGCCTCCTGGAGACTTGGGCTTTGCAAACACGGGGCAAACGGTTCTGCTGCTTGCTACCCCCCCGCCCCGCCCACTCAGCACTGTGCTGGGACACCACTGCACTTTATTTTTAAAAAGAGTGTATTTGTTTATTTTTGGAGAGAAGGGAAGGGAGGGAGAGAAACACCCACGTGTGAGAGAGACATTGATGGGTTGCCTGTCACACGCGCCCTGACCGGGAACTGAACCCACGACTCGGGTGTGGGCTCACAGGCTGGGGGCCCCCCCTCTCTGGAGCACGGACTTGGGGAACTGCAGATCTTACAGGCGAGCGCAAGGCTCAGGGGGAGGGAGCAGGACCGTTGCCAACCCGCATTTATCCCGGGTGGCAGGCAGAAGCCGGGAGCTTTTCCTGGAAACTGAGGGGCTGGATGGTAATGTCAGCTCTGCCCTCCCCAGGGTCTCTGCCCCGAGGGTCTCTGCTCTGAGAAAGCCGCCTCACAGGATGCTTAAGAGAATGTGCTCTGCTCCAGTAAACTTGATCTACAAAAGCAGGGTGGGGGCAGGAGACCCGGACTCCGGCCTTGAGCTGGGAAGTTTCCTATTTATGGATCCCATGCCAGCCCGCCTGCCTGCAGGCGGGCCACGCTGGTCCAGGCGGGGATAGATGCAGTGCTTCTGTGCATTGTGGGTTCACTGGGGGTTCACTGGAGTGGGCAGAGGGAGCCAGGCCCCTCTGTCTTCGGGGGTTGGGTGTGCCAGCGGGGGAAGGACAGCCGATCCCTCTTGGCCTTCAGCTCAGGGGTCCTGGAGTGTCCCTCTCTTCTCGTTGTCCCCACTGGTGGTTTGCAAGTGTCTGTCTGAACAGGCAACTCTTAAAAACGTGGCTGCTTTCAGAAGACACCTCGGTAGGAGGTCCAGGGTGTGCAGTCTGGCACCGATTTGAGTGTGAGGAGTGGACAGACGTGGTACCTAGCCCTCCTTGTTTACTCACTGGGCCACACGCACTGGGTGTGGGTCATCGCAGCGGGTGCCCCGGGGCCCCTGTGTGGGATGCGTGTCGGGTCAGGGAGGGAGACCCCTTCCCGCCGGGCCCGAGTCGGCGAGGGCTCCGAGGTGGGACAGGAGGCGTCAAGGAGGACGTGGCCCTCGGCTGGGCGTTAAAAGAGACACGTTACCCTGGCCGGGTGGCTCGGTTAGTCGGAGTGTCGTCCCGTACACCAGAAGGCTGTGGGTTCGATTCCTGGTCAGGACACTTTTCCAGATTGTAAGTTTAATCCCCGCTCGGGGCACTTATGGGAGGCAACCGGTTGATGTTTCTCTCTCACATCGATGTTCCTCTCTCAAATCAATAAACGTCTCTTCAGGTGGGGAACATAAACAAACCACAAACAAATAAAAGGGATTTGTTTCCCAGGCAGACGAGGGAGACGGCTGGCCAGGCAGGGACCGTGGGCGTAAGGGCTCGGGAGCTGCCGGCGTGCGGCCCCGGGCGGGGCGAGGCTCCCTGGGGCCTCTGTTTGGGGGGCGCAAAGAGGGGGGCACGGCGCTCTGGGGTGCGCCGGCTGGCGCGTGTTCGGCCGCGCCCCGTGTCTGACCGCCCGGTTCTGTGTCTCTCCCCCGCAGATATCAATGAGTGTTTGAGCCTCAGTGCCGCGTGTCCCGTGGGACACACGTGCATTAACACGGAGGGCTCCTACACGTGCCAGAAGAACGTGCCCAACTGTGGCCGAGGCTACCACCTCAACGACGACGGGACCCACTGCGTGGGTGCGTATCAGACAAGGAAACCGGTCGGGAACGGGCGTGGCGCCGCTCTCGGCACAGCCCTCCCTCCTGCGGCGGAGGGGAGGCCGGGTCCCCAGAGACGGGCCCTCCCCACCTGCCCGTCCGTCTGCCCACCCCGGGCTCCATGCCTTTCCGGTCCGCCGCCCACCCTCTGCCTCCGGCCCGTCCCTTTCTCTCTGTCCGGTCACCCTGAGCCGGAAGCAGTCCTGCCCCTCCGTGCACACAGTCCCCAGGGGTGACAGACAGAGGACAGACGCCCCTGCTGACAGCTCAGCCACCCTGAGCCGGCCCCGGCCCCACAACCCGTATAATCCAGATGACACAGGTCTCGCTGCCCCCCAGACAAGCCTGGCCTCTGCTCTTGTGTGGTTCCCTCTGCCCCCCGCTCCTTGCTGCCCTGAGGTCCGGGGCCCAGGGACCTGCCAGCCCACAGGGCTCTTCTTCCCCGTCACCCCCAGGGCACTCTCTCCGCGTCTCCCCCCCGCCCCGATCACTGGGCGCTTCCTGCCTTAACTAAGGTCATCGCTGGCTGACCGGAGCAGGAGTCCCCTGCGGGGAGGGGTCAGCCATCTCCCCAGCGCGGGCCCCATGCGCCGTGGGTGCTCCGTGAAGTCGTGTCGAAGTGTCAGCGGTGCAGCTTTGTCACGCACGTCTCATTCAGCGTGCCGTCCGGGGAGCGCCCACCCACTGAGGGCGTCTCCGCGTGTCCTCTCTCCCGGCAGACGTGGACGAGTGCTCGCCGCCCTCTGAGCCCTGCGGCGCGGGGCACCGCTGCGTGAACACCCCGGGGAGTTTCCGCTGCGAGTGCAAGTCCGGTTACTACTTCGACGGCGTCAGCAGGACGTGTGTGGGTATGTGGGTGTCCCCGTAGGCTTTGGGGGGCCTAGCCAGGTGGCACCCAAGAGATCCAGCCCGTCGTCTCCCGGAACGGGCACGGTCTGTTCCTCACCTCGGAACGCCCGGGTGCAGGCGGCCCCAGAGCCAGGCCCCGGGGCCGGAGACCCGGTCCAGTGCCAACGCCCAGCTGCCCTCCCGGGCGCGGGCCGTTCTCCCGCCTGTACGGCGGGCACACTGTGTGTCACTTCACGCCGGTGCGTGTCCGTGAGGCTCCAGCCCCCCTACCAGTGCCCCAGGGATCCGTGGTTTCCCAGTCATCCGCCACCAGCCTGCAGGGCCTCGGGGTCCCGAGCTGTGGGTGTAGCCCAGGGCGGGGAGAACCAGGCACAGCTTGGCAGTCCGGCCACCAGGAGCAGGGACAGACCCCACTGGCTGGTGCCTGCCACCCCCAAACCAGGGTGGACTCTCCCTCGGGGATCTGGAGCAGAGAACCCCGGGGTGGGCGCACGCCAACATGTGCCCGTGGGAGGAGCAGGGGCGCACCCAGTGGGGCCCTGGCTCCCTGCTGCCGTGCCCTGTTTGGGGGACGAGTCTCTTTGCCTCTGTCCTCTGAGAAATGAGGCTGAAGGACGTGGGGGTCGGGGAGGGGGCATGTGGCAGTGCGGGGGGTGGGGTGGGGGGAGGCCATGGCCGCTGAGCTGCCGCTGCTCCCTTGCAGACATCAACGAGTGCCGGCGCTACCCCGGGCGCCTGTGCGGCCACAAGTGTGAGAACACGCTGGGCTCCTTCCACTGCAGCTGCTCCGTGGGCTTCCGGCTGGCGGCCGACGGCCGGTCCTGCGAAGGTGAGGGGGCCCTTTGGGACCGGCCCGCGCCCGTTTCCCGAGCCCGCGTATTAAGTGACTCGGCAGCGGCGAGTGCCTGCACGGGGCCGCCTCCCGTCAGAAGTGACCGCCCCGGTTCTCCTGCGCCCCAGAGGGGCCGACCACACTGGCCCGCAGACGTGGGGTCAATGGGCGGCTGAGACACGCCGGGAGTGTGGGGTCCAGAGGCTTTGACCCAGCCATTCATTCTTGTGACCTTGGTCGCCTCTCGGGGGAGCCTGGGGTTGACGCGGCAAAGAGGAACCAAGGCTGGGCAGAGTTTATCTAGACGACACTCAGTGTGGGAGAGTGCTTGCTGCCCACTGGCCTGGGCTCCACCGGAACAGAAGTGGGGGGTGCTTTTTAGGTGCTGGGGAGCGCTCAGGGAACGCTCGGAGGGAGGGCCGTGCGATCGGGCCGGCTTCTCTGCTAGCTGACTGTTCCCCCCTCCCCTGCCCCAGAGAGGGGAGGTGCACACTTCAGGTGTATGGTCCTCCCCTTGAGAAGGACCTTCCTGGGTCAGAGAAGGAACAGCTCAAAGGGCGGAGGAAGGGCTCCCACTGGCACGATTTCGAAGTGCAGTGCTTCTACGGGAAAGGGAAGCCGGGGCCTGGGCTGGGCTGGCTGCGACGTGCGGTGAGCTCATTGGCCGTGTCGAAGGCACCAAGCAGCCGCTTTAAAGGGGCCTGGGCTCGTCTCCCTAGGGACCCCGCCTTAGCCCGTGGAAGCCACCCTAGCTGCCCGGGTCTCTCTCTGAGTGTGTGGGGTGGGGCCCCGGCAGACACGCGGGCGCAGAGAGCCTTGGCTTCTCAGAGGACACCCACTTCCGCGGGTGGGGCGGACGAGAGGAGGTCGTCGGTGTGTTTGACACGGGGTTTGGCACGTGTCGGGTGCCCAGCAGGTGTCCCATCTCCGGGGACCAGGCTCTGGCGGCAGCAGAAATCGAGTCCTTGGACAGCCCCTGGCGATGCACGGCCCACGTTGCCCGTCGAGCCCCGGTCTGTGCCGCGTGGTGGATCCGGGCTCAGACGAGGGGACCGGTCACTACGGTCCAAGCTGCCGGGTCGTGCTCAGCCGTCCCCAGACCCCAAACGGGAGGAGGGACCGTGCAACATGTGCTCCCGGGGCCAGGGCTTCCCCCAAAGATTCTGCAATTCGGCCCCGCAAACCAGACCGAACGCACGTATATCGGCAGGGAAGCAGATTCACGGATCCGGCTCTGCCGTATTCGCGGCCTTGAGGAAGCAACCAGGCGTCTCTAGGCCTCTGTGCTCTCACCTCAGCCAGGGGGCTGTTCGGATGCCGCTCGTGGGGGTCACGAGGATGAGACAAGAGGAAGCAGGTGGAAGTCCTCGAGCCCAGTGTAGGCGGAGTGCCGGCAACACGAGACAGCTGGTGTCATCGTCATTATCGTTCATGGCTTGTGCCGACCCCGGTCACCCTAAATAATAGGAAAGTGGGAGTTCCTATCTGTGCTAGCGGGCAATACTGTGGACACAAAACCGGGGCCGGGCCGGCCTTGCCCCATTACTCCGCTAAGCATTTACAGAGCACCCTCCCCTCCCCCCGCCCAAGGCTGTGTGGGAAGAAGGTGGTTCCGGCCCCCGCAGAGTGTCTTAGGCTGTGACAGGGGCCGTGCTGGGCAGGGGTGAGCGGGTGCAGCCGGGCCCGGTGTGGGGGGCTGCAGAGGGGAGAGGCTAACGGATGTCCTCAGAGGCTCACCCCCCCTCCCTGCTAAGATTTAGCAGCAAATGTGCAAAGAGACCTCTGGGCAGAGGCTGGCACACTTTTTTCCCTAAAAGCCACATAGTAAACGTTTTAGGCTTGGCCGGCCGCAGTCTGTTGGAACTCTCACCTCCGCCATTGTCGGGCGAGAGCAGCCTTAGACGGCGATAAATGAATGAGTGTGGCTGTGCGCCAATAAAACTTTATTTACAAAAACAAGTGGGGGGCCAGTTTTATAGGCTGCTCCCTGCTCTAAGCAAAGGGAAGAGGCGGACTAGAGACCAGGGTTGCTGAGTGGCCCAGTGACTCCCGAGCATCAGGGTGCAGGGTGTGGGCGTGGCGACAGGTCCCCCCTCTGTGCAGCGGTGAAGCAGGGAGGGTGTGATCGGATTTCCCTCTGGGAGCTGGGAAGGCTCCGGCGCCCAGGTGGCGCCCGCTTGGAAGGGCCCGCCGAGTCTAGGCAGAGGCCCCTGCTGTGGTCCGGGCCAGAGCCAGTGCGGCTGGCAGCAGCAGGAGGGGCGGGGACGGGGAACCCGGGTCCTTCAGCCGCGCGGGGCCGCAGGGGGCGCCTCTTTCTCTGGGGTGATGGCCGGTGGGCCCCTGCCCCGCCTCTCCGTGTGTCAGCCCCGGGGAGGCACTGTGCTCCCGGCCCCAGCAGGGGCCTGGGCCAGGGCCCTGAGCGGCGACCCCGGACGCTCTCTTCCAGACGTGAACGAGTGCAGCAGCAGCCCCTGCAGCCAGGAGTGCGCCAACGTCTACGGCTCCTACCAGTGCTACTGCCGCCGCGGCTACCAGCTCAGCGACGTGGACGGCGTCACCTGCGAAGGTGCGGGCGCCGCTCCCTGCGGCCCCTGCTACGGGACGCCCTTTCGGGCTGGCCGTGCTCTGCCTTTTCCTCCAACGGGGGCTCCTCCCAGTACCCTTCTCCCACCCCCGAGAGTGAGGTTTGGGAGGGAGCAAAGCCACCCGCCACGTCTGTCTTTCTTTCTTTCTTTCTTTCATTTTATTTATTTGTTTTTAGAGAGGAAAGGGAGGGAGGAATGGAGGGAGAAAGAGAGAGAAAAACATCAATGTGCGGTTGCTGGGGGCCATGGCCTATAACCCAGGCATGTGCCCTGATTGGGGATCGAACCTGCGATGCTTTGGTTCGCAGCCCGCGCTCAATCCACTGAGCTACGCCAGCCAGGGCTCGCCACCGCTTTCTTTAATCTGCGTGTGATGGCTGTGACGGCTGTGTGCGCTCTGACCCTGAGCGGGACTCGGTGGTGCTGTGTGACCCAGTGGCGAGGGGTGGGCTGGGGGACCACCCACACCCCTTACCGGCCTGGGCCCTCCCCCTCTGTAGCACGGGGGTTCACCCCAGACCCTCCCGAGGACGGGGAGAGGCTGTCAGAGGGCACAACCCGGGGATGAGGCAGAAGCACTTCCTACAGCGTCCGGCACCTCGAGGCACTTAGAGAGCAACTGTCAGGGCCGTCGCCCTGCCCGTGGGAGGGCTGTTTTCCGTCAGCACCTGTGCAGTGATCAGCCTTAGGACACACCGGCGGCCTGCAGGGCACCTGTCCTGGGTGGCGTCCCGAGCCCTTGGCCTGCCCCCTCCGCTTAGCGCCCCACCCCGCCCCCTTCCCCAGGCATACGCATGCTTCACACCATGAACTTGCCGTGCGGCCCGGGCCTAGGCCCTTCCCTGTCTGGGCCCCATTTCCCCTTTGGATGTGACGCTCTCTGAGGCCGCCCCAGCCCCAGCACGTCGGGCGGGGGCTCCTGTGTCCAGCCAGCCCCGTGTGGCCGCCCTCCCGGCCCTCAGCCCGGCCGCTGGGGAAATGTGGCCGGGCCCGGGGCCACACAGGACGCTGAGGGCAGCTTTGCCCTTGCAGACATCGACGAGTGCGCCCTGCCCACCGGGGGCCACATCTGCTCCTACCGCTGCGTCAACGTCCCCGGAAGCTTCCAGTGCAGCTGCCCCTCATCGGGGTACAGGCTGGCCCCCAACGGCCGCAACTGCCAAGGTGGGTGTGCTAGGCCCCCTGGGTCACGTGGCCGAGCTTGGGGCTCTGCAGTGTTGGAGGCCGAGGCCAGGCAGCCCCCAGCGGGGGGGTGCACTTCCCTGACCCGGGGCCACACTGCCGGCGGGGTGCACTTGGGAAGGGGAGGGGAGGCCTCTCCCTCCCCATCCGAGGTATGTCCTGGGGCCCCCCCGTCCCCAGCCCACCTGTCCTCAGAGGGTGCTGGGCCCTCGAGCCCTACCCTGGGCAGCCCCAGTGGGGCTGGAATGGGGGCTGACAGCCTCTAGGAAGATGCCCTCCAGGGACCCCATTCCACAGCATAGTGCTGTCTGCTCCGTTTTCATTTAGTCATTCGACAAACCCTTGCTGTGGGCCAGACATTGCCAGGGGTTTGAGGGCAGACAGTGATCAGATGGTGGGTGGGGGTCGAGGTGCTGATCCCCGGCCAGGTGAGGGGAGGACGTGGTCTGGGCATGTGACAACTCCAGGGTCTCTGGGCCTGGGAGGGTCCCACTGGGGCTGGGGGTCTGCTCCGGCCTGGGCTCAGTGAGGCGGGCCACTCGGCTCCCACATCTAACACGCTCTAGGGGCCGAGGAGATGTTTGTGAGTGGATGACTGGGAACGGAGACGTGGCCTCCCTTTCGGGAACGGTTCCAGAAGCTGAATCATAGAGGCTGGGTCTGTCCGGCCCCTTCCTTTTGAGCACCCCCTGCCCCCCGCCCCAACCACGGGGCTGGCAGCCCAGAGGCCCTGGAGGACCCAGGTCCCGCAGATGTCCCCTCTGGTCTTGATGAAGGTCTGGACTTTGATCTGAGGCAGCAGCTGCGGCATTTCCTGGGAGGGCCCCGCTCAGCTGGCCCGGCGCCCGGGGTGGGAGAGTGGGAGACTCTGTTTTCACGTTTCCGACGCAGTGGGCGACTCCCCTGCTCCTGGCCGGGCTCCCCCACCGCGGCCTGCCAGACACAGCAAAACACATTCCTGAGCCTCGGCCTTGGAGATTGGGAGTGTGATTTTGCCACCAAGGCCAGGCATTCGGCCCCTTCGGAGATGCCTCCTGGCTTGGTGACGTCCCCTGGGCCCCGCCACCTGGCTGCTCCAGGGAGTTCTGGGAAGGGGCACGGCCTCTCCTGTCCAGGGTCCAGCCCGGACATCGCTGACTCCGGACACCGGGCACAGCGTGGCATCCCGCCAGGCCCTGGGGCCCCCCTCTGTAACTGGGGGCTCGGAGCTCCTGCCCTCTCCCTCCCGGGGTGCTGTGAGCCCCATGCGGTCAGGGCGGTGAGCCCCGGAGTGTGGAGAGGGGCCGGCTGGTTCGAACAGGAGCCCGGGCGCCGGCCCGCCTGGGTTCACGGCTCGGCCCCACCGCTCACACGGTGTCTGACCGCAAGCCAGCCGCTCCCTCGAGTGGGGATAACAGTCCTTGCCTCAGCGAATTCTTAAGAGAATTTTAAAAACTCTGTGAGGCCTTTCCAGGGCCATCAGAGTATTAGCTGTGGTCATTGTCACGCTCCTTCTGACTGTGAGTAGTGAGTAAACGCCCTATAGATATAAACGGCCTATTGGGGAAGGGGCTGGCACACACCGCTCCGGAGTGCAGCTGGCCGGGGGCCCGACCCCCACCCCACCTGGCTGGTGGGAGGCCCGAGCACCCCCCTCAGTGGGTGGGGCCTGCTCAGGCGGCCCCGAGGCCTTCACTGTCTTGCTCTGGGGTCTCTTGCAGACATCGACGAGTGCGTGACCGGCACACACAACTGCTCCATCAACGAGACCTGCTTCAACATCCAGGGCAGCTTCCGCTGCCTGGCCTTCGAGTGCCCGGAGAATTACCGCCGCTCCGCAGACACGTAAGTCCCTCAGCCCGCGGGTGTCTGTCTGTCTGTCTGCGTCGGCCTCCTGGGGGGACCCGGCGCCCAGCCTGGGCAGGGGGTTCGTGAGCTGTGCCCTCCCGCCGCGGTCTGGGGAAACTCGAGGATCCGAGGGCCCCTGGCTCTCAGGCCCCTCCATGCCAGGGAGACTGGTCCCAGAAGCCAAGGTCATGACCTCCGGTGAACCGGAGGCTGGCGGGCCGCGCTCTGAGCGGGCTCTGCGTGCAGCTGGCCTGAGCCCGGACCTCTCGTGTCCCGTGTGAAACGTGGGCAGGGGGCAGCTCTTCGGGCCTCAGTGTCCTCGTCTGTGAGACACAGTGTCAGGATGCTCTGGATCAGATGCGGGGAGCCACGACTCCGAGCAGGCCCACGTGACTTGTTGGGGCGTCCTCGTCAGGGGGAGCCCTCTGAAAGCCAGATCGGTCTGGCCTGGTGACTGCGGGGACCGCGTGGAAGGTTCTACGTCCTCAGTTTGAAGCCGGGTGTCCGTGCTTCAGTGTGAGCTCGCTGCCTCCCCGGCCACTGGAGGGCTGCTGGGGTGTCAGGGGTGCTCCCTCCTCAGGCCACTGCAGACCACCCTGCCCCTGATGTCACTGAGAGGGTCACAGGGAGTCATTTCAGGGCAAGCTCCACAGCGGGAGACAGTCTCAGGGACGTGGCTGCCTGACTCTTGCCCCGTCCCTGGAAATGGCTCCAAGCCAGCACACGGCCAGGCTGACGGTGTGACTTGGCCTCCTGCCCTTGAGCCTGCCCCTCCCCCCAGAGGGTCAGCGCCTTCGTGGATGATACCCCAGGCCCCGGCGTCCCCTTGCTCGGCCCCAGGCTCCAGCTCCTGGCTCTGGCCTGGCCTCCGGCCTGTTGAAACCCGGAGCAGGTCTCAGCCGACACAGCCCTGTCTCCTGGCAGCCCTCTGCCCTCTTCCCAGCCTCGGGGGGCTCACTCCCCCTGCAGCCTCGCCACCTCCCCCGTTCCCTCAGCGTGTGCTTTGTCTGCTTGCAAACCCATCCACTCGCTTCCTTCCGGGGCCCTGGTGAGGAAGACGCCGCCCCAGAACTGGGCTCGCGAGTGCACAGCATTCCAAGGAGTCTGTGGGCTGCTCGGTGGCCCCGTGGGCAGGCACAGCGCCCCTCTGAGTGGTTAAGAAAGAGCTGTGTCCTCAATTTTGGCTGTGCTGCTGTTTGTCGTTGCAAGTTCCCTGGCTCTCATAGCTCGTCCACCCCTGCTGTTGGCTGCCACCCTCCACCTTACACGGAGCCACAGAAGCAAACGTGGGAGGCTGCCCCCCTGGGGGTCTTCACGCCTCCCACGCCGGCGGCTGGGTGGGTCGCCGTTGTACACTGAGGTTGTGCTGAGATGTGCAGACCACCTGCTCCCCCCGCAGTGCTGTGCACTGTGTGAGCCTTTGCCACCCTCAGGGCTGGAGAAGCTCACTGGCTTGTTTGGGGAATGTTGGCCGCAGGCTTACTGCATGCAGGCACCCAGGCAGACACACAGTAGGCCTTCCAGGCCCCCAGCCACTGCCCACTAAGATCACCGCAAACCCATCAATGGCTGGGGGGTGGCGGGGTGCCTGGAGCAGGAGATGCTTGAACAAATTGAGAAGGAGGCACTGAGTCAGGCAGAGAGTGGGGGTGCAGGGGAAGACCAGAGAGGGGTGCGGATGCACATGAAGCTGACACGGGAGGAGTCCCAGCAATGAAATGGGGCGTTCAGCGGGGAACGCCCCACTGGTGAGAGCCGGGCCCTCCAAGGCCTGGTCTGTCCCCACTTCGTGGCTTCATCAGCCTGCTCCCTGGGCTCATCAGGAAGGGGCTGGTCATTCTTCATGAGCAAGGGCAGGGAGCGGGCCCCCACCCACAGTAAAGGCCGGGGGGGCGGGGTTGAGGCTCCAGCTGGCCCCCCATCCTGAAGGTGGCGGCTGCACTTTAACTCCCACTCCTGCTCGCTAGCGCCACCCAGTGGCCAAAGCAGAGGCTGGGCCCAGCAGGAAGTTGAGAGAGAGTCCTCACCTGAGGAGGGCCGGGTAAGTCTCCTGTCATCTCATGAGGATGCTGAGGCATTCTAGAAAGATCCTGGCTTAGGAGTGAGGGTCGCGTGGGTTTGCCTCCCAGCTCAGTCCATCCCAGGCCCCTTGATCTTGACCAGAAGCAGGTCCCACGAGCGTCTCAGAGCCTCCGCGCCCTCAGTTGTACGGGGAATGGGGGCAGAGCCCGCTCCGTAAAGCTCGCTCCGGGTTCCCCTGCTGTGGGGCCCGCGTGGGCACGCCAGGGCCCAGCTCACTGCCCGTGCTGTGGCTCTCCTGCTCCTCGGGGCTGTGGCCTCGGGTCAGCCCGTCGGCCCCCCAGGGGCCCTGTCACCCCTGCTTGGCGAGGCCCGGGGATGCGCAGAGACGAGCTCCAGGCGCCCAGCCCGGCACCAGCGCTGGCGCCCAGGAAACAGTGGTGGTGAGGAGGGGAGAAGCCCCCACCGCCCTCCTCAGGATGCAGCCGGTCAGGAGGCGGAGGCTCCTTCGGGCCTCTCCATGCTCTTGCTCTGCGAGCCTACTGTGTGACCGCTGAGGCGGAGAGTGGGGGAGCAGGGGGAGACCACAGAGGGGTGCGGATGCCTGGGGACACAGGCAGGGCTCCTGCAGGGCTGAGTGCTCACAGGGCTGCGCTCACTGCTGCTCATGGGGACTGCCTGGTGACAGTTTTCTCCTGTCTTGATCCCTCTTGACAAATCGTGGCCTGGGCCTGGAATCCCGAATCGAGGAACAGTGGGGGCCTTACCCTGGCTGCTGCACCCCAGTCGGGGGACTTCCTCTGGGACCACGGGAGTGCCGATCCCTCAGTGTGAGCACTGTGACAAGTCACCGACAAGTCACGTCAGTGGAATTTTCTATTTTACAGCTCAGTTTCTTCCTCCTCAGAAAGCCTCTTTTTAACATTTTTTAAAAGACCCTTTTAATATTTTTTTGGATTTTATTTATTTTTAGAGAGAGGGGAAGGGAGGGAGAAAGAGAGGGAGAGGAACATCAATCAGTCGCCTCTTGCGCACCCAGCCCCCCGACCAGAGACCTGGCCTGCGGCCCAGCCACGTGCCCTGACTGGGAATCAAACCGGCGACCCTTCGGTCCCAGGCTGGCACCGAATCCACTGAGCCACATCAGCCAGGGCTCAAAAAGCCTCTTAAAGACTTTATCGTATGACCTGGAGAAAGCCATTTGTAACATCTAAATGAGCTGTATGAGAACGGACTGGGTGGCCAGCACATCCGCGGTCGGCACTCCACGAGAGCGCTCGCTCGGGGGACCTTGACAGGCAAAACTGAAGACCCTCTTGCTCTCTCCGTGCCTCAGCCACCCCTCTCCCTGCGGTCTCCTTCTGCCCGGTGTCCCTGGTGAGCAGGGGGCAGTAACTGGAGCGTGACCAACAGGCTGGGCCAGAGACCGCAGGGCTGGGCTCGGTGGACCAGGCAGGCTGTTAGGATAACCACACAGTTCCCTCCTGCCCACAGGAGGATGTTCAACACGCCCCAGGGGCTGGGAGGGGACTGAAAACATTCTCTTTATCTGCCCCCTGAGACTTGTGGTCTCGGAAGCCGGGCCGGGGTTGGGCAGCCCTGGTTTGCACAGCTCCTGGCCTGAGGGTGTACTTGCTGTGGACGAGGGGTGAGGCCCTGCCCTGGCCGTGCCTGGGGCTTGTCTCCAGCGTGACAGGCGTGTGGACGTCAGGGGCAGCTGCAGGCGTCAGGCAGCCCGGGAGTGGCCAGAATGGCCACGTGTCCCAGGAGGAGGGGCAGGGCCTCGAGGACCTTTTTTTCTCTGGTACGTGGTGGCTTTCCAAACTGCATTGTCATGGAGCTTGGGGTCTCGTGATTCAGTTTGTCGAAGTGAAAAATCGGGGCACATCTTTCTCACGTGCGTGCTGAGACGGAAACTGAGGCACGGGGTCCCCAGGGCCTGGCTGTCCTGCCCTCTGTGGTAGGTGTGGTGCCGACAGACCCTCCTCCGTGTAGACACACCGGCCGCCAAAGGCTTTTGTGCCGTTCCCTGCCTGACAGGAGGTTTGCCGGAAATACTGGTCAGGTGTTCTGGGGTGCTTCAGCAAGTGTGGGGCACAGCAGGGTAGGACAGTGCACCTGGGAACTGATCGGGACCGTGTCGGTGGGCGCACATTTACTAGGCACACAGTAGGTGTCGAGCCCGTGCTGGGTGCTGGAGAGGAAGCCACCGAGCCACGGCCACGCCCTGGGAAGCTGGGGGTCTCCAGGGAGCCAGGCCCAGAGACGCCTGGTGTGAGGAGGGCCCGGGCGCTCCGGCAAGTGGCTCTGGGACTGGGAGTGTGGACACCCCTGGGGAGGAAGGAGTGCTCGGCCGTCTGGTGTGTGGTGGCTGCGGGAGCTACACCAGAGCATCACGCACGCTTCACATTCCCCGCGTCCCACACACGCTGGGTTAATGTTTCCGAGTCAGAACCCTGTGCTCGGACCGGGGATGGGCAGCCGCTCGCAAGCGGGAGAGCTCAGCTCACGTAAAGGAGACTCTGGCGCCACCTGCTGGCCGGATCCGCTGCTGGCTTTCCGAAGGGGGTGCGAGTGTGCGCGAGTGTGCGCGCGTGTGCGTGACTGTGCAAAGGCTTTGGAGTGAGACAGGCCCACTTGGCCTCTGCCACTGGCTACAGACCGTGGAGTCGTGGGCTCCCGGGCTCCGGTCTTCCCGTCAGTAGAATGACGTGGGACGGCGAGGCGAGCTGCTGGGGGAGAAAGCCCGGGAGACCGGCGCGGTGCCCGACAGTGCCCCCGGGGCCCCCCACATCGCCCGGAGCACTCCCAGCTGGCCTGGACTTGGGCGTCTCTGGGGTCGGGCTGCCCCTCGGCAGCACCCAGGCCCACCCTCTCCCCACCTTCTCCCCCCTGCCTCTGGGCTCCCTCCCATGCGTGACCCCCCTTCACGGGTCCCAGGCCTCTCATACTGGCAGGGCCGTAGAGCCACGGGCTGT